GAATCTTTGTTTTCTTGACACTGAGCCTCAATTCATATTAAAGGCTATAGTCCTTGACCTTCTGCAGCAAACACCTCAGTTTCAGCAAGCAAGATTGTATCATCTGCATAACTCAGGTTGTTGATGAGTCTTCCTCCAATTCTGACACCACATTCCTCCTCTTAAAGTCCAGTTTCCTGAATGATCTGTTCTGCACATAGATTGAAAAAGTACAGAGCTTGGATGTATCCCTGACACACACCATTCTTGATCCTGAACCATGCAGTGTTTCCCTGTTCTGTTCTTACTACTGCTTCCTGGTCCAAGTATGGATTTTGCATGAGCCCAATTAAGTGTTCTGGGATTCCTATTCTTCTCAAGGTCAGCCACAATTTGTTGTGATACACACAGTCAAATGCCTTTGCGTAGTCAATGAAACACAGACAGGTTTTTCTCTGGTATGCTCTGCTTTCAGCTAAGATCCACCTAATGTTGACTATAATGTTCCTCGTGCCATAGCCTCTTCTTAACCCAGCTTGCATGTCTGGCAGTTCTCTGCTGATGTGCTGTTCCAGTGTGCAAAGAGATAGAGTTAGAAAATCAAAAAAGATGAACTCACTAGGCATTTCTTAAGCTGAAGGAACTGAAGAACAAACTTAAGCTTTGTGTTGCAATACTTAAGGGTGCTTAGGGCAGAATGTTGACTGAACTAGAAAATATCAAAAGAAGATGGAAGGTGTACACAGAGTCTCTATACCAAAAAGAATGGGATGACATAGAAGAATTTAATGAAACAATATATGATCAAGAGGCAATAGTGATGGAGAAGGAAGTTCAAGCTGCTCTGAAAGAAGTAGCAAAAGACAGCCTCAAGAATTGATGGCATACCAACTGATAGATTTCAACAAACTGATGCTGTTCTGGATGTGCTTACTAGGTTGTGCCAAGAAATCTGGAGGACAAATAGGTACAGAAAATAAATTACTTCTGCTAGAACTGAGGAGTACCTGAAGTGCTTTCTGCCAAAGGTTAAGGACTGTAGCTTTCAATATGGATTAAAGCTCAATATCAAGAAAACAAAGATTCTCACCACTGTGCCAATTGGCAGCATCATGATAGATGCTGAAGAGATTGAGATTGTTCACAGCATTAGTTTGCTTGGCTCCATAGTCAACACTCTTGGCACCAGCAGCCAGGAAATTAAAAGATGTATTGCATTGGGAAAGTCGGCTGTTAGAGACCTCTCCAGAGTACTGAAAAGCAAAGACGTCAGTATGGAGACTAAGGTGCACTTGATACATGCATAGCAATCACTTGCTATACACCAGAGAGCTAGATAATGACTAGAGATAGAAAGAGAATTGGTCCCTTTGAACTGTGTTTCTGGAGAAGAGTATTGAAAATACCATGGACTGCTAAGATAAAGAACAAATTCATCCTGGAGAGGGTGAAACCAGGCTGCTCCTTGGAGGCAAGGATTCTGACGCTTCATCTGACATACTGTGGACATGCTGCAAGGAGAGACCAGTCCTTGGACAGGGATGTTATGCTTGGGAGGGTGGACAGACAGCACAGGAGAGGAAGACCCTCTATGAGTTGTATTGAGTCAGTGACTTGGGTAATGAGGGTAGGTGTGTCAGAGAAAATAAGATTGGCACGGGAGTTTAGGGCTGTTGTACATAGGGTCAGTATAAGTCATAGGTGACTCGATGACACATAGCAGTAGCAACAACAACAACAACAACAACAGTAAATAGATAAACCAATTAAGATGAAAGTATTGTGGTCAGGTGCCCTTGCTTGAGTTGACTCTTCTGGTCAATGTTCTTGTTCTTATTTCATCATTTTTTCCTTATCGTCTCTACATTCTAGAGCAAGTTCAGAGTCTCCTCTGACAGTAATTTTTGTCTTTTTCTTCTTCCCTGTTTTCTTAACGACCATTTACTTTCTTCATTGATTTGCTTTCTTCATGATTTAATGTGAACTTTATTCTTTTCGGATTGGAATCCCAGATATGCACAGTATTGGGTTAACAGCATCACTCTTTAAAGACCATGTGCTCTTTTGGTTTTGCGAGTGAGAGTTTTCAGTCTTTTCACGTGTAAAATGGAAGTATCAAATATCTTCTTCACAGAATTGTCTGGAGCATTACATGAGCTAAGGCACCACCAACCCAACCCACTGCCACTGAGTCTATTGGACACATAGCCACACCCCCCCAATCACACCCCCCCAATCAGACATCTAAAGCTATAAATCTTTCTGGGAGGATGCTGCCCACCTTTCTCCCACAGAAGGCTTGTGGATTTGAAATGTCAACCTTTCAATTTATGTTATGCTTATGTTATGTTATGTTATGTTATGTTATGTTATGTTATGTTGTATAGATCTCCTTTGAGTTAAGGTATAAACTACTAATTACAGGGTCTGACATATAAATTCTCATTAAAAAACAAACAAAAAATAGAAAGGTGTTCAATAAAGATAAACAATTATTGCTATTGTTATTATTACTATTTACAAATTAATTAAGAGTCTTTAAAGCTTTAGTCAGATGTAGGAAGCACAACAGAACCATAGATAAGCCCCTGGGGCAAAGGGAACATTCTTTAGCTGAGTCTCTATTTCTAACATGTAGAATACTATCTGCCTCGCACACAGAGAATTCTAGCCCTGTATTTGCATTAACCTTACACTGTGTCTCCAGCAATGGGCTCACGTGCATCAGAGGTTATTGTGAGGTTGGCACAGGATAGGACAGGGTTCAGATCTATTATTCTTGGGGTTGCTATGAGTCGTACTTGACTGGATGGCACCTAACAACAACCACTACTACAACAAAAACTCAGGTTCCTTGTGGAAGGGACTGTGTCCTGTTTAGCATTGAGTCTTGAGTACCTGGCAATATAATATCTGCTATATTGTTAGCACTCAATACATTTTGTTGACCGAGTAGGAAAAAGGCATTTTAGAAATATTCTGATGGGATAATTCCTAAAATCTATCCTGTTTTATGACAACACAGCTGCAAAAGCATTGCAACTACAAGATTTGTCATTCTAAGCATTTAATAAATTATCAGAATGTTGTTGTTAGGTGATGTCGAGTCAACTACAACTCATAGCAACCCTATGAACTACAGATCTGAACCCTGTTCTATTTTGCACCATCCTCACACTTCCTGACACACAAGAGCCCCCTGCAGCAGTCACCACGTCAATCCACCTGGTTGGAGGGTCTTCTTCTTCTTTGTTGATCCTCCACCTTTCTGAGCATCATGTGCCTCTCCAAGGAATAGCTCCTCCCAGCAACTCGGCCAAAGTATGTGAGGCAAAGCCTCATCATCTTTGCTCCTAAGGAGCACTATGGCTGTACCCTCTCTAAAATATATTTGTTCTTTTGGCCGCCCATGGGATATTCAGTACTCTTCTCTATCACCAGAGGTCAAAGGTACCAATTCTTTTCCTGTCAACCTTATTCATTGTTCAGCTCTCAGATGCATAGCAAAGTATCAGAAAAATCATGATGGCCTGACTCAGACATACCTTAGTCCTCAAACTGACATCATTATTCTTCAATAATTTGGAGAGGTCTCTAATTGCAGACCTTCCCAGTGAAATATATTTCTTTATTTCCTGTCTGTTGATTCCAAGAGTGTTAATTGTGGATCCATGTAAGATAAAATTGACAGCTTCAATCTTTTTTCCATCAATCATATTGCCTATTAATCCAGTGGTTAGAATCTTTGTTTTCTTGACATAATTAGAATAATAATTATAAATTTGTTATTTGTAATGTTGCATAAATATTTGCCCATTTTCGACTTTATGTGATAGTGAGAATCTAGTTCACTCAATTCTCACCCCAGAGTTTCAGAATCTTTCTGTATCATAGAACCATAAAATGCACACATTTGCAACGGAGCCTACAAGCCTGCAGTGTTCCTTAAGCCCCATTTCCCAAAAACATACCAGTTATGTGAAGCAAGAAAGAAAAGGTTTAGTTAAGTCTCATGTCTGAATTAAGTGATTTTTGTCATTTTGTATATGGTCCTCATGTACATAACCACAGATACAGGGTTTCTAAGATGAAATCAAGGATATGCTTGCTGGGCATGGTGACACAAGACTTCCAAACATTCTTTTAGTGTGGATCTTGCATTATACCGTGCATTCAGTTAATATAGTGTGATTTCTTGGATATGCTTGAATGTGAAAAAGAAACTCCCTTTTCCCCTCCATTCACTAATGGCTAAAATTCTTTTAAGGTCAGTATAAGCATAAAATGTAAACAATACCAATTCTTTCCCTAGAAGCAGGGTTTGATGGACAGGCAGAGGAATTTATAGTTTCAGAGAGACCATGAGAAAGATAGGCACAAATTGGGGGGGAGGGGCAGAGCAGTGCTGGGGAAGAAACATCACAGAGGGACAAGGGAGCATCAGTTAGTTAAACTGCACCTTGCACAAGTGATCTAACTCATGATGCTTAGGTATCTGTTTGCATTCATACAATTAAATGAATAATTGGAATTATTAACTTTGCAAGTTAAATATAACCTTGATCCATTACACTGACAATCAATCAGGATGCTGGAGACTTGGTAACCTGAGAGGGATTTAAAAGAATCGATTAAAACAAGTTGTTAGAAAAAGGCAATTGGAAAATTTTCCCTGAAGTCAAAGAATTATTAAGAAAGCAACATGGAAGACACTGAATGGAGTCATTTAGGCCCACTATAGAATGGAGAATAGCTTCTAATGTTGCTTTGCTTTTGTTTGAAATGAAACTCATGGTCATGTTTAAGCTTGGCCAAAGTGAAATGCAAGTTGGGAACAATATATAAAAGACTATATGCCTTTCAAATCTATGATGCTAAAATCATGACATCAAAGGAATGGATGATTTGTAAATAAGGCCATATAAGTAAATTACCAAAAATAGCTAAACAAAATGCATTTCAGGCTTATCTGTGAACCCAGGAAGACTAGAGAGAACTAATGATCAGTGATAAGGGCTTACTGGTCTTTCATGCTGAAGAATTGATGACTTCCCCGGCTCATACTCAAAAATGCTCCTTGGCTCTGAGCGAAATTTTCTGGTGTCCACTTTTCTGTCTGGGGGATCCCAGTCATGCCTAGAAACACACAACAAAGTGCACAGTGACAATCTCTTATGCTTAAAGCTGTTGTGAAATGGCTCACTTTTTAAGTTACCTCTAGTATAATTTAAACAATCCATTTCTTATACCAAACACGTAATTTTATCATTTTATGTCTATCTAAACAGCTATTTCTCAAATTTTAAGCCATGTTTCTTAACTATATACTTAATCATGAAAAATTGTTACTAAAAGAAATTTTAGGTAAACAGTTTCAAGGAAGTACTTTCATATTACATTTTCCTGGTTGGTTTTTTAAATTTGTTTGTTTTTTAAGTATACAATGGCTATCCTACTGCCAGCTCAAAAGCTTGCATCAAGGTATGTAGACACATAGCCAGTGACCCAGTAGTAAACCCCTGAGCCACTAATGGGAGTCGTATGTTTGTACTTAAAATAAGTGGCTCTGTTAAACTATGTGAACTTATCCCAGTACTGTGTGACCTGGCATCCTTGATCTAAAGTGACAAGGACTAATGCATATGCCACGCTCGGTCTTGTTTATCTTGCAAGCAACATCCTAATCTCTCTGTGAAAGCATGGACGTATCCCTGGTTTGAGCAAGCTGTGTGGCATGAAGAGCATTCTAGTGCTACTTTGGAAAACCAGAGTCAAACATTAATCTTGTTGCATGAGCCCTTTTTCATAAACTAGTATGCTCTAAGAGGCTATTAAAGGACGAATAAATCTTTCCAGGTAGCTGCTCTAATGAAGAAGGATTCCATTTGTTGATTATATTTGTGAAAGAGGGATTTTTTTTTTCCTGATCATAGATGCTAGGGTTGAGCTGGATGGGCGGGTTCCTGACTCCATGGGATGGGATGGAATAGAATTCTAATGTCATAGCTCTTGGAAATTAAGTCTGTAAGGAGTTGTGCTGCTAATCTTTAGTGATTAGAATCCACCAGCGGCTCCATGAAACAAAGATAGCCAATCTCCTCCCATGATTTACAGCCTCAAAAATCTAAGGGAGTGCCACCTTTGAGTTGGTTTGATGTTTATAAGTTTTGAGTTTGAACTATTGTGAGTTATACTGCTAAGGCTTCATGTTTCTAGTGTTTTGAATTTACCACTGTCCCCTCAGGAAAAGAGATAAGCAATCTCCTCCCCTTATGTTTTACAGCCTTGGAAATGCACTGGAGGATTTCTATGAAGCTGAACAAACTTCCAAGCAATTAGAGTTTTGTGAGGAGCCCAAAGGGTTAGCATTAGTAGGACAATGGCTAAGGGTTAGCATTACTAGGACAATGGCTAAGCTCTGGTCAGCTAATTAAGAGGCTTGTGGTTTGAATCCACCAGCCAATTTGGGGAGAGCGAGCACCTGCTTATCCGCTGCTGTAAAGATTTCAGCCTGGAAACCCTCTGGAGCAGTTCTACTCTGTGGAACTACTAATGGGTCACCATGAGTTGGAATCAACTCAAGGATTCATGGTAATAATAGCAACAGACAGAAGAATTAGAAGAAAGTTCTAGCTTTTTAATAAACTAAGGAGTAAAATTTGGCATATTCTTTACATTTCTTCAATAATAGTGTGTTTCACCTATAAAACACAAATAGTAAAATTACGTCTTTTTCAGAAATATTGTGGGGCTACACAATGTATATGTAAACCATGTAGAGATTTCCAAGGAACTATCATATTCTTAACAGAAAAAATTATTTCTATAACAAATTATTTTTATTTTTCCCCTACAACAAATAACAAAAAGACACATTTCAATTTGAGTTCACTTAAAATATCTTTTTGTGTCTAAACAAGTACTTTAAAAAAATTCTTATTTTTCTTTTCTTTTTTTTTGTGTACCATCAAATTGTATCCACCTGGCATAGGCAATCGCCCCTCATTCTCCAATGGAGCATCTGGTGGATTTGAACCGCATGCATGGGATTGCAGTACAGCCTCTTGCCACTAGGCCACCAAAGCTCCTAAACAAGTACTTTTTACATTTTAAGCCCTAACACTTTCTCAACACATAGTCATGGAAAGATAATTACTAAAATTAAGAATCCCTTTAGATGCATGTAAATTTTCGTGGTACTGTGTACTCATTAATTGCTTTTAAAAGTACAATGGATGAATGAATGGAATCCCAAAATCTCTGTAGATGTTCACTGAAATGAAAAATAAACAACCTAAATTAAAAAAAAAAAAAAGGAAGGCACCATAAGTCTGTCAATAAAAAAAAAAAGTACAATGGAATAGTAAATATATTTTTGGGGGGAATGGGTATAATAAAGAAAGCCTTACTAGCTAGTATTAATCTGATACACTTTTAATCTTTATTTACTAATCAGGGAGTCCTGGTGGCATATCAGTAGAGTTGTGCTACTAAGCCCAAAGCAGCACCTCTCTGGAAGTTCAAATCCAACAAAACCTCCAAGACAGGGAGATGTGCAAACCTCTTCCTGTGTTATTTACAGCCTCAGAAGCCCCCTGCGAGCTCAACTGTGACTCGGTTCTGGCTCAGTGGCAATGAGCTGTGTATATATAAATAAATGTATTAATTTACTAGAGCTGGCTTTGAATTTTCTCAGAGCTAAGTTTGAATCTTGCCTCAGACAGGCTTGCAGTATGAGTTAAGAAAATGACTTCAGTTTTCCAAACTGCATTTCCCCCGCCTCTCAGAAGTAGATTTAAAATAGATCATATTTCATTGGTTTGTTTTGGGAATTAAATAAAATAATACAGGAAAATGACATAGTCTAGTGGTTGGTTCATAGTGAGCTTTCTCAAATGGTCACCTATAAGAAGGATTACTAATCATAATAATCAAAAGCAAGCTCATAAATATTTATTTTATTGTGAGTTATTTCTACAAAAGTATTTCAGTAATGAAGTGAGAATTGGTATCACCTTGGAAAGGTGGTGGAAAAGGGTCAAGAGAGACACTCATTAACTAATGATTCATTCATGATGCATGAATAACCTTCGCTGGTTTCAAAAATATATTTTTGTGTACCAGAGGGAACATTTTAAATTTTTAATAAATGCAGCATTTAAAATATCAGGAAACTAAACATTAACTGTACGCTTTTTTAACTAACTGACTTATAGCTGACCCTCCCTTGGGTTTCTGAGGCTGTAAGTTGCATGATAGGAGATTGTCCATCTTTTTTCCAAGGATCCATGGGTAGAGTGAGACCTTTAGAGAGGTGTAGTCTTTATGTTAGCAGTATGATTCCCTATGGACGACATCCCCAGGGCTTTCTTTAACTAGCGACAGAAAAGAAAAAGAAATCAATTACCACTGAGTAGCCTTTCAGTCATGATGACCCCATGTGTGTTGGAATAAAACAGAATTTTCAAAGCTGAGTTTTCAGAAATAAATCATCAGGCCTGTTTTCTGGTGTATCTCTGGGAAGGTTTGAACTGCCAGTCTTTCAGTTAGCATTAAGCATGGTAACTGGTTATACCACCTGGCTCTATCAAAAGAAGTCCACGATACTTATTTCTAAGTCTGACTTCCCAAATGCCACTGATAGGCCTAGACAGCTGTGGTGGCATCGTCCATAAGGAATTGTGCTGCTTACTCAAAGGCCACACAACTCTTGTGGTTTGAATCCACCACTGGTTCCTTGAGAGAAAGATAGGCAGTCTCCTCCTGTGTGATTACATCCTCAGAAACCCAACGGAGAGTCTGGTTCTGACAGGATGGCCATGCTGGGTTAGTGTACAATATAGGCCCCAATGGGGGGAAATGCCTTACTTTTCTGATGAAGATCGATCTCTTGGCCGAAGTGGTGGGACTGGCGGGGGCACGTGTGGAGGAGGCACAGGGGAGGACGCGTCCTTAAAGGCATCGGTGCCGTTGTCGGAGTGGCTTTTAGAGAGAGGTCTGTAGGTCTGCGTCTTTGCTGCGGGGTGTGACTGCGCACTGTAGGATGGGTTGTACAAGCCTATCATGGAAACAAATACAGAAGGAAGTAACATTTTAAGAGTGCACTTGATGTATATACTTCTCATTAATATCTGACGATTTCCCCAAAATTGTTATTGATAAACATATTCACAGTGCATATAATGGATTATAATTTGTAATCAATTATAAATTATCATCTTTTAGTGATTAAAGAGGAACATTGATCACAGTGAATCTTCACTAATTACTCGAAATTAGCTATAATTCTGGCTTCTGTGAGCCAAACATTTACAGGAGCTCAGCAAATTTTCGCCTTTTCTATATAAACTTACAATCCAGTTAAGGTTTCAGGATAACATTAAAATTACTGCATAGAACTGTTTGCAAATATTGTCCAATATTTGGAAAGTTATGATTTGTGCATGATAATCAACATGTTAGTTACAATCCAACACAATATTGACCCACTTACTTGTATAAGGTGTTGCGCAAAGTGCAAGGAAACATCTCACAGTAAGCTTATCATGCATTTGAGAAATAAATCACAAATCGAGGGAGGATTAAAAAGAATTGCTAGTATATGATCCAGGCCAAATGAGAAAAATACACATTAAGAACTAAAAGGCGTTTAGAAGATTCTAGATTGGTTGAACAAGGAATTGTGGAACCTACAAACAGTTGGGCCTTAGGATTAGTTTGAGACTTGAATGAAGAGGGTAGCAGGCATGGAGTAGGGAAAACCATAGCAGGAAATAGTAAAACTTAGCGCTGTGGTGGAAGATAGGCTTAGGAGAAAGTGAAGGGGCTGATGGCAGCTACTTTGCCTATTGATTTAAGTGAAATTATCTCTAAAGAGTTTTCTAAAATAAGACAGTGTTACTGATGCAAATGTTAACATTTAAAAACAAGAAAAAAAATGTACGTGTAATCTCTCTTTGGGGCAATCTCTATACTTATGCATCTACATCTCCTGACGGTCCATGCACATTTCCGTGACTAAAAAAATATGATCAAGCCAGGCCTTAACTGTTTTTCCTCCATCTCATATTCAGATTTTTAACTTTAAAGTTATACAAAGGATTGAGGATTTAGTGTATCTATCCCCAAGAATAAGAAAAATCAATGCCCAAACCAGGTGTTAAGGAGTTGACTCCAACTCATGCCAATCAATGCATTTCAGAGGAAGACTACCCTCCACAGGGGGTCAGTGTTGGTGGTTTCTCAGGAGAGGATCACTTCTGAGCACTGATTCTTGGGGGAAATGAATTACTAGTTTTTAATATCTTGGGCTGCCCCAAGAGTTGAAGGGAGCATCTCAGTGGATTCCTGCTGTGCTCTCCGTGAACTAGGTCCTACAACCAGGGGCTTTGCAGGTTACTAAGCCTGTTATATGTGGTTTTTCCTATTTGAAGACAAATGGCAAAATCCTGAAGAGGAAAATGGCCCTAGGAGTGTTGTTAAAGCATCTAGGAAAGGAGAATCTCAACCAAAGTCAGAGTAGCAAGGAGACCCTGAGCGAGGTCACAACTGTGAAAGGCGCCATGAGCAGCCTGGTCTAGAGGCTGAGAAGGGGAGTCAGTTGTGCAGTTGGCCTGAGACGGAGGCAAGCAGAGAAGAGATCTGGTGTGGGAGTTTGATGATGATTTTGAAGGGAGCCTTGCAGGGAAACAGGGATCCTCTCTCCAGATGCCAATTCACTCAAATGTAAGTAGAAATGCTCAGACTTTAAGCCATCCCACGAGGACCACGGGCAACTCAGACAAGTGGCCCTCCATTTTTCCCCCTCTCTCAATGAATGGCAACATTTTGGAGCAAAAGTATGGAAAAGGTCACACACAGGTTGGCTTGACTGGTTAAGAAATGTATCTGAAGGATCTTGAATTGTAATCACTCTCTCTCCACGGATAAAAGGAGAGCTTTATCTCATTTTGTGGCCCAGTTACAGTAGGTTCTTTCATACTGTCCTTCACATTTTGGTTAAACATTCCTAAAACTGAGAATAAACTAACAGTGGGCGTGCAGGAGATTAAACGGTATTAGTTCTCATTTCCATGAAAAAGGATCAATCCTTTTTGTTATGCATGCTCTGAGGAAAAGAGGAGGGGGAATCACAGGAGGAGATCCTCTTAAATTGTAAACGAAAAAAATGTGTGCTCAAACACAGTGATCAAAAAGTGACTGCATAGCTCTTCCAAGCACCACGGAGCAGAAAATATTCATTGCAAGCAAGGAAGCCCATCCTACCTGCGTTATATGTATAAGGAGTATTATACATGTCTGTGTCATCATCTAGAAAACGAAACATAAATATTATAGTAATATAGGCTCTGTTACCACATCATATAACAAGACAACAGATGTTCAAAGGAATAGCAGAAATTTTTAGGAAACCAATATTATTTCCTAGTTTGTGTGTTAGTTTCCATTTTTGAAAAATATTATTTTGGCTGGGTTTGTGCAGATGGGCACCCTCTTGTCTGTTAAAAATTTGCCTCAGTGCCCTGTGCACTGCACACAAGATCCTTCCCTTTTCTTCCCTTCCCCACACAGCCTTCTCTTTTGTTTGTTGTGAGTTGTCTTCAAGTTGTGTCTGACTCATGGGAGCCCCCACCTGTCACAGAGTAGAACTGCTACACACAGTTTTCTTGCTTGTAATTGTAAAGGAAGCAGATCACCAGGCCTTTTCTTCTGCAGTGCTGAGGGGCAGGCCTGTGTAAACTATTTGTGCTCCCTCGCGTTTTCTTTGGTGAGTGCTTTAAAGGCCTCTGGTCCACTGGACTGAGCATGCACACTCAGCCCTACCTCTTCTCTCTCGATGAGGAGCAGACCAAGGTGGACAGAGGAATAATGGTTCTGTTCATGCGGACAACACACAGGAGTAGGTTGTGGATTGGGAAGGACCAGGGACAAAGCCAGAGAGCCTGATAGACCTCCAAGAAGCACCTTGAAGAGGTTTCTCTGCAGCTCAGGATGAGGCACAAGTCTAGCCAGAGGGGCAACAGTCACAAAATTAGGAGGACATGAAAAAGTAGGAGTTAGGCTCATAATGGTTGGTAGGGTCTTAAATCTCTGTGTGAACAAACCTGCAGAAGAGGAGAATACAGCCTTCAACCACAACCAACTGATAAAAGCTAGAATATAGTACATACCAGGCTTGTGCACCATGTGAATTTGCTTAAACATTGTCTTGTACCAGTCCTTTGGTCTGTCAACCGTCTAGAAAAGAGAATACACAATATTACCAAATACATTTCCAAGCAAACATTGTTCCTCAATGTTTTTCTCAGTATATTTTTCTTTTTCTTTTTTTTCATCATAGATTTCTGTTTCTCAGTAAAGGCTTCTGATTATTATTATGTGATAACATTTTCAGGTAGAGACCCAGTTATGTTAAAAAAACAAACAATAAAACAAACAAACAAAAAAACCAAAAACCGCAAGGCCCCAGGAATTGATGTCATACCGACTGACAAATTTCAACAAACAGATGCTGCCCTGGATGTGCTCACCAAGTTATGCCAAGAAATCTGGAGGACAACTACCTGGCCAACTTACTGGAAGAGATCTATATTTGTTCCCATTCCAAAGAAAGGTGATCCGACAGAGTGTGGAAATTATAAAACAATATCATTAATATCACATGCAAGAAAGATTCTGCTGAAGATTATCCAAAAACAACTGGAACAGCACATCAATGGAGAACTGCCTGAAGTTCAGGCTGGGTTTAGAAGAGGTCATGATGGTAGGTATATTATAGCTAATGTCAGATGAATCTTGGCTGAAAGCAGAGAGAGTACCAGTCTATCTGTTTCATTGACTATGCAAAGGCATTTGACTGTGTAGATCACAGCAAACTGTGGCTGACTCTGAGAAGAATGGGAACCTCAGAACACTTAATTGTGCTTATGCGAAACCTATACTTGGACCAGAAGGCAGTCATCAGAACAGAGCAAGAAAACACTACATGGCTCAAAATTGGGAAGGGTGTGAGTCAAGGATGTGTCCTATCTCCATATCCTGTCAATCTATATGCAGAACAGATTATCTGGGAGGCTGGGCTCTATGAGGAGAAATGTGGAATCAGGATTGGAGGCAGACTCATCAACAATCTGCGTTATGCAGATGACACAACCCTGCTTGCTGAAACTGAGGAGGACCTGAAGCGCTTGCTGCAGAGGATCAAGGACTATATGCAGCCTTCAATATGGATTGAAGTTCAACATCAAAAAACAAAGATTCTAACCACTGGGCCGATTGGCAGCATCATGATAGATGGTAAAGAGACTGAGATTGTTAACAGTTTCAGTTTGCTTGGCTCTACAATCAACACTCTTGGTACCAGCAGCCAGGAAATAAAAAGATGAATTGCATTGGGAAAGTCTGCTGTCAGAGACCTCTCTAAAGTACTGAAGAGCAACAATGTCAGTCTGAAGACTAAGGTGCACCTGATACAGACCATGGTCTTTGCCATTACTTGCTATGCATCAGAAAGCTTGACAATAACTATGGAAGAGTATTGAATATACCATGGACTATTAGGAAAACAAACAAGTTTGTCCTGGAAAGAGTGATGCCAGGTTGCTGCTTTGAGCCAAGCAAGGATTTTGAAGCTTTGTTTGACATACTTTGGACATGTTGAAAGGCAGGATCAGTCCTTGGAGAGGGATGTCATGCTTGGGAGGTTGGAGGAACAGCACAGGAGAGGAAGACCTTTGATAAGGTGGATTGATTCAGTGATTGGAGTAATGGGGGGGTGTTGGAGACAATAAGATTGGCACGGGGTAGAGCAGGTTTTAGGGCTGTTGTACAGAGTCACTGTGAATCGCAGGCAACTTGATGGCACATAACAACAACAACAACAACAATACAGTTATGTATGTACCTTATAAGTATATTACCCTTCTTTGTGGTTGGGCTGTGTTGCAACATTAGATGCCTTGGTTTTATTTTTTCCTTCAATCATAATTCTACCCAGCATTAAACAGCTGATATGTGCAAAGATATATTTATATAAAATTCACAAGATAAAAGTTATAATTATAGTAGTTTGCCTAACTCCTTTTGGTGATAGCTATCATTATCCTTTAAATTTATTTTCTTGAATGTTCTAGTCAAGACATTATTTTTAGAATTCACGAGTAAATATTTTTGACTCAAGTTGTATTCTGATCAGCTTGTTGTTGATGGGTGCCATTGAGTCAGCTCTGACCCATGCAGATTCTATATTAAACAGGATGGAACCTTGCCCAATCCTGTACCATCCTCACAATCCCTGCTGTGCTCAGCCTAGTGCTGCAGTTACTGTCCCAATCCATCTTGTTACGGGTCTTCCTTCTCTTTCACTGATCCTCTACTTCTGCAAGCATGACTTCTCCACAATCTGATTCCTCCTGATAATATGTCTAAAATGTGAGAAGCAAATTCCACCATCCTTGTTTGGATATAGAGAATGAAATATTACATTTACTCGTCAAATTTGTTAAAACACTGAATATAGCAGACCATCAATGGTCCATGAGCAAAGCTAAAAATACAGATATTGTTTTGAAATTTCTTTAACATGATAATTGGTCATCTAAATATACATGTATCCACAAACCAAAAGTCCCTTTAGAGTATAAACTTCCCTGAGTATGCATACTTTTGACAATAAAAACATTAAATTGCACAAAGAATCTAAACTTAATGTCAGGTCAACTTGGATTCAAATCTTGGTTCTTTCTTTACTGTTTAATTCTTCTTGGCAATATGAATTTGGACAAGGTAATGCAAACTTTTTGAGCTTCGGAACTGCATTCTCTATAAAATAAGATAAAGTAAAATAAAATAAAATAATTTTATCTACTTCTTGAATACTACAGAAATCAAAGGAGATAATGAATGCAAAAGGGCCTAGAATAGTGCCTGGAATATAAGAGATGATCTCCTACTAGTACGAAGAGGGGAAAATATGTGTAGAATCATGAATGAAGCTGGACTAATAGATGGAATCCTAACTTACTGCATATCTGGGAAATACAGACAAATACTTTTATGATCATAGCTACTTAGCCTAACTCTTTCAGAAATGATTTAAGCCAGAAACTTAATGTCTCTGTGCATACAGTAACTAAGTATTTTGGTCTAAGATAGTTTTCTTTGTTTAAAATATTCAGTTAAGATTATCACAAAAAATATTCTTGTACCTGTTAGACTGAGCTTTAGTTTAGATTTTACATCTTGATTTTTCCTTCAAAATGAAATCATTTACATTTTCCAACTGGGAACTGCTTTCAAGTAAGTTCTGATTTACAATGACTCTGTAGGGCTGGGCAAGAGCTTCCTATAAGGCTTCCAAGGCTGTAAGTCTCTAGGAAAGCAGAAAGCCTCATTTTTTTCTCCCTCAGAGTAGCTGATTGTATTGAACAACTGACTGTCTGTTTAACAACCAACCACCACCCATCAAAGCCAAGCTGGCTACCATCATCAAGTTGATTCTGAAGCATAGTGACCCTCCATCAAGTCGCTGGGGCCACCTGGCTTTTTAAGCCTCAGTGGATTCTCTGCAAAATGAAATAATCATAGCCAGTCATTTTGCTCTTTCATTAGCAGTGCAACATGCAACACACTATGGCACCAGGGCTCAATTTTTTTGTGTTGTCATTAAACTAATCACCTCCCCACTGATGCCTATTCCAAGCCATAGGGACCTCCCACTGGGTTTCTGAGTCTGTAAATCCGAAGAGGAGGAGAATTCCCAGCTTTTGCCCTGTAACAGTTGATGGATTTGAACTGTCGACCTTTTGGTTAGCATGTTATGTGCTAACTTTGAATATATAATTTGGTAATCTCTACCAATATGGATTAAGCTTAATGGCGACTTGCCTTTGTTACATATCAATTCTTCTTTCATTCTAGACTTTCATTCTTTCTCCTACAGAGGAAAACCTGAGAAGGTTGTAATACTGAATACTGTGCTTGGAAGGGTGGAGGGACAGCTTGGGAGAGGAAGACCCATGATGAGCTGGACTGATACAGTAACTGAGGCAATGAGGGCAGGTGTGTCAGAATCACTGAGACTGGTTCAGGACAGGGCAGGCTTCAGAGATGCTCTACATAGGGTCACTATAGGTCACAGGCGACTTGACGGCACATAACAAGTAGTCAAAGGTAGGAGCAGATGAAGGAGTGTGATTATAAAGCAGGACTCTATCTAAAAGGAATATATGATTAGGCATTATACATACGGGCGACAGCCCAGAATAAGAGGTATATCATTGCAAAGAGGACAAGGGGAGTGGGAGTCGGTAAATGTGCAACAATGAATGAATATTATATTTTTTAAAAAGTGAACTGGAGAGGACAAAGGGAGGGAAAGGGGTGAAATGTACAACAATGAATGCATGAAAATCTAACTTCTCTGTAAATGTTTCTTAAACTCACAATTGAAACAAAATTTCATTTTTAAAAAAGCAGGAGTCTAGCATGATTTAGCACAACATGTATGGTTAAGGGGCATTTGTTTCCTTATAGGACCTCTTTCTCTTACATTAAGCTTTATTTCCTTTATAGTATTAAGTAACATAAAACAAGATACATCTTTGTGCAAAATTGTTTCCCAACTACCCCTAGGCACAGCCAATAGCAACAAGGAAGCCTACTAAGCACATCATATCACTGTATATGGCAGTGCATCTTGACAGACAGGGTTTTCCCCCCCCCACTTGCTGGAGGGCAAATATCAGATAGGATCTCACAGTCATGCCATCTGCTAGCTTTATATGGTGAGCACAGAGATGTCAGGAAATGCCCTGTCCATTGGCAAAGAGGAATGCGAAGCTGGTACAAGGAATACTGAAACTCTGTGTCCCTTCATAAAAGAAGTTCCTGAAGCATTTGAAGTTCCCTTTTGAAGCCAGATGAGTAGTAGAACTGAGCTAACTCAAACAAGAAAACAGAAGTCTACTTGATTTGAGGAATTTTAGTTTTGTATGTGTCTTTCAAAATTATTTTGGATGGACAACAGTCACCAGTCAATTCGTTTTTTCAGTTGTTCTCATTAATCTAATCTGGATATGCCTGAATTATCACTTTTCTTGAGTCTTCAAAGCTTTGGAGCACCAAACGGCTTGAACAGACAGAAATTTCCAACAAGGCAAAAGGCAAGCATTTTCTAGACACTTGAGTTGTTTTGTTCTGTTACTGCCCCTTTCTAGCTTCGAAAATTCTCAAGCAAGTGTTATATTTGCACTCTTAGAAAGGAATCTTGTATTTCACTTAATCAGCTGGCCTTAAATGACATAATAATCTCTTGGGACTTGAGCCCTAGTGATTTTTTGTGGGTGTTAAGAATGGCAGTAAAAGACAAATGCTGGGGGTGGGGGTGGCGGGGATTGTATACCAATGAAGAAGTTTATCTTTTGCTTTTCGAAGAGAGGAGCTAGGGGTGGGGTGTAGAGAAAAAAGTGCAACAATGAATGAATGGAAATCCAAAATCTCTGTAAATGATCATTAAAATTAATAAAATAAAATTTAAAAAAAAAGGCAAATGCTGACATCTCAGCCAGAGAGGCTTTTTGGGAGGCTTTGTTCAGATAACAAAAATGTATCATTTGCTCATTGACTTTGGACTTGCTAAGTAGGATTTCTCAGTTACTTTGCAAATTTCTGTCTCCCTGGTATATGCTGATTGTCTGCAATGACATTACAATATGGTTTATTGAGTCAGTAGCACCTGTGGTGTCCATGCTCTGAGTGGAAGGCTAGTATGAAGTACTCTGGGATCTGATGATCATTACTTTCTACACGAATGAGAAAGAAAAACAACCTTGGGGATTCTTGGCCTGCTGTGGCTCAGAGAAGGTCTGACTCAACATTTATAAACACAGCTATACTTGGATGTGCTCTGGAGGCCTGAAAAATAGTAGATGTGAATAAGAGAAGAGGCTTCACAGACCTGTGCCTATTTTATCAAGCTTTAAAGGTCTAAGTCTGAGTACAATTGTACATAAAAATTATGGCTCCTTATAAGGCACTTCTAGGTTGCTTCTGTTTAATTTTCTACTGCTTAGAAAAGAAACTAGCATTTAGTGTTTAGTGTTTGTGTATGGTTATGTATATCTAAGCGAGCTTTTGATATTGAGCTTTTGATTTTGCAGTAGATAAATAAGGTACATGAAGTTTTTAATAGTACTTCCTGTTCATTAACCATCCACAGCATCTTAATTTTTCCTTTTTAAGCACTAAGAAAGCAAAGTATTGCTACTTAAGAAAATCGTGTCTTCTGGAGAAGAGAAAAAAAACCACAACGGACAGTATTTATATGCCCACTGTAATGCATTACTTATTGACTTAGATTTAAGACATTTAGAAGTCGTAGGTAAAAACTCCTTCAGACACACTCTAGCTACACAGCATTAGGGATCTCTTAATTTATCTACCTGCTATGCTTCAAGTATCAGTTAGATAAAATCATCATACCACACCTCTCTGAGATTATCTTTTTTACCATATCAGAAAAAAAATATACATAGATAAGATTTAATGATTTGGGGAGCCAGAAATCTTAAAAAAACCAAAACACCAAAAACATAATTTTCATAAGACTCAAAATATTAGTCACAGTCTTTGAGCTTTTTCTGTCACTTAAGCACAAATGAAGATTCTTACAACTTTATAATTAGTCACAGTGCAGTTTGCCCACAATCTCACTAGTCTAAAGCCCCCAATTGCTATGTGAATTTATGTTTTCACGTCAATCTTAATACAGACATTGGAATAATCCACTTTTTAACTCTCCCCTCTGTATATAAAACCCCTATTTGTTATATGTTAAATTCTGAATCAGGGAGAAAATAAGGAAACTTCAATTTTGTCTTAAGTTCTTTTTTTGAATATTTCCAATCTTACAACTTTTTTAAAAGCATATCCTTCCCATTCTTATCCTCTAACCCTTACTCCCCTCTGCTCCCCAGGTTTTCTTTCCAGGAAAGAAGCTTTGGCCCCTCCCCGCCCATCTGCCGGTGGCCCGTCCCTCCTGCCCACACTCCACCCTCGCATCTCCCCACACCTTCACCTGCAGAGCTGTAGCCGCTCTCATCCTGATCTGCGCCCTGCTTCTCGGCCGCCAGCACAGACCTTCTGTTCAAGAGGACCTGGTCAGCCTGCAGCTGCCTGCCCAGCTCGCACTAGCTGCCTCTGCCAGTGCTGAGCTTTGCCAGAAGGGGCTGCCCTGACACACAGAGCAGTGCTTTTGGCAGGGTTTAAGGACTAAAAAAAAAAAAAAAATCCAAACACTTTCATTTATCTTCCCTGGAGAGTTCTCAGCAGGCACAGCTGAAGAGGGACACTAAAATGTGTAGTTTTTCCTCAGACAGCTTTTTCCCTCCAATGACATTAGCTCTCTACATTCCAAACATCTCACCTCCCAACTCTCAATTCACAGCTCCCAAACTCTGGTGTTAACACACATCCATTTCAAGAAACAAATCTCTGGCTTATTTGCAATGCATGTGGGAATTCAATGGAGCCAAAGAATTCACACGTCCTTCTTTTTTCCTTCTACAGCCCCAACATGCCCTGGTAGAAGGCAAAAAGCATACTTCTATCATTTAAACAGAACCACCGTTGTGACGGCTTTTAATTACAATGGAAATCCTGAGATTGTACTTTAAAATGCAATTATTTTCTGCAACCAGTTCTCTTCCTCTACCACACGCAGTATAATATTCATGAGAATTCAGATGGCACCGGGTGAGATCCTCATTATATAAGATGGTAGGAATGCATGAAGCCACTGACAATCCAGCCTTTGTACCGTCCACACACTCCCAGAGCAACACGCAGGCCATCCCTACCGTCCTAATTGCAGTGGGGATTCCTGATTCATCCACAGGCCCGATCCCGGGGTAGTGAGGGGCCTTGATGACAGTCACTCTCTTCTCCTCCTCTGAAGATCTGTAGAGAGGGATGGAGCTGCCCGAGGTGCCGTCCAGAGACTGTGCATGCTGGGGATAGGTCTCTGTGGAATCTGTGGAAAAAAATATAATGGACTTGATACACAGAGTCATGAATGAATGTGCCTACCCTTGTATATTTCTGGCATCTGTCACATAGTCTTTGTTTCCATTATGAACTCCTTTCATTAATTTACTTTGAGTAACATTGCTAATGCATAGGAGTTTATTGAACAGACTTGTAACATTAAGAACCTCATTGTTTCAGCAAGAGGAATAAGAGAAGATAAACATTTGCTGAATAACATGTGGCAGATGCTATACAAAGTAAGCACTTTGCATACATAGTTTCATTTTACCTTCTCAGGAAGCTTGCTAATAGGGAAAGGGTTCAGGAATAGAATTCTTGCCTTCTATGTAGAAGACCCAAGCTGAGCCCAAGAAACTTAGACATAGTCACTAACTTATCTGTTATTGAAGACTTGTGTGTTGCTATGATGCTGGGGAAATTTAACTGGGGATTGCACACTAAGAGAGACTAAGAAGGACCCAGTGATATACTTTTCCAAAAGAGTCAGTGGAGATCTATGGATCACAATGATCTAAACTGTAACTGATCTTAGGGAAGCCTGGGCAGAGTCCCTCTCTGTTGTGTGTGGAGTCACCATGAGCGAGGCCCACCTGATCAGAGCAACAATCTTGGGAGAACATCCATTTACAGATACAGAAGCAGAAGCTGAGCTACACTTACTAATGTTCCTAGGGTCATATTTTACTTTACAATCATTTTTTGTGACAATGCCAACTATCATTATTTAAAAGTACAGATATGTGCTTTTAGAACAAAATATATGGCTCTATAATAATTATCTAAAATTTAAGGCAAACCCCCCCAAAATTTAAAAAACTTCATATCCAAACAGATATTGAAAGAAAAGACTATTAGTGAATTAATGGTTTTAAATTATTAGAATGGACTTTTTTAAAAATACTTACAGGCCCATAGTATATCTGTTTGAGTTATAAAAATGCCCCAAACCATAACTTATTGTCATTGGAGGATAACTATAAATTACATGAGATTTATCAAATTATTATCTTTGTGTTATGTTTATAAACTTTCAACATACCTGCATAGGAAATTAAAGTACAAATTCCACTGACTCTTCTGGTAGTTGTTATGTGCCATCAAGTTGCAACTGATTCATAGCCAACCACAAGGTAGGTTTTTAGAGTCAGTAAATTATATGAGAGGAGATTGCCCATCTTTCTCCCACAGAAGAACTGGTAGATTTGAACAGCGTGGTTTTGGGTTGGCAGATCAATTCTCTATGGACTATGCCACCAGAGCCCCTGATGGAACATGTTAGACTAGCAGAATTTTTAGAGTTTCTCACTGTTTGTGTAATAATGCATGTTGTTGTTGTTTGCTGTCAAGTCAGAACTGACTCACAGCTGGCCCTCCAAGTGGGTTTTTAGAGATTTTTTAAAAGGTGACAATTGCCTATTTTCCTTCTTTAGTGCAGTTGGTGGATTCAAACCACAGGCCTTAAGATTAGCAGCACAACTTCCATGGGGGGAAAAATCCAGATACAGTGACTCCCATTATAAAATGGTACCGTGCATTGTCTGCTCAAGGGCAAAATTCTGGCACAAGGCAGTTCTACTCTGTTATATTCTAAAAGGACTTCATTATAAGATTCACATGATCCCCAGGAGCAGAGTTAGAGAAAGCACAAGTATATTTACACTTTCTTTAATGAGTCCCGCAGCTACATTTAAAGTCTTAAGAGTTATGAAGGTTTTGTTGACCACAGAAGCTGAGTTCCACGATGCGTATACTTCATGGAAACATAACATTTTCTTTTAAGTGTAAGAAGCATCACGTTCTTCGAATGTGTGAGGAACAAGGTCTCTGGGAGCATGCCCTAGTCATCCTGTCCTCAGCCCTGCTCCTGCTGTTCTGGAAGCTTCCAAGTGTTCAGCAATACAGACATTTTTATCCTGAATTCAAACAATCGTTCAATTCAGATAATTAATTTTTTTTCAAAAAAACACTATTAAGTAAAGATTTACAGTCTTGGAAACCTGATGGAGGGTCCTTTTAAGTCAGAATCAACTTGATAGTGGGGGGTGGTACATAAGTATTTATTTGTTTTAAAACTCTCCTAGTATATTTTAGAACATAAAAAGGTTTTGATTGTTTAGGATGGTTTCTTTACCAGGAGGCTTCAAATTGTTCATGAAGTTTATGAAATTGTATGTTTAAATTTTATGTAAATGTGCACTTTTATCCCCTCTCCTGAAGGAGAGTTACATCTTTCATATAATAGTTAAATTCCAAAAGATTAAGGACTATCACACCATAAAATAATACCAAAGACACATCAAAACAGATACCCATGATGGTTTTCTGTCACATTTCAAAGACTATAGACATTTTACTGAAAGGAAACTGTTTCATCGTTCTCCCTCAGAGTCAGGTGGATTTGAACCAACTGCTTTTTGGTTAGAAGCCCAGCACATGACATACTGTACCACTATTTTTCTGTGCTATTATGTTGGAACCAACTCAACTGGGCCTCCAGGGGTTTCTCAAAAGATATAAATCACATGGGAGGAGATACGTCATCTTCTGCAAAGCACCTAGTGGATTTGAACTGTCAGTGCAACTGCAATTTACCACTAAGCCACCAGAGCTCACTTACTGTACCACTGTATGCCATCAGGTTGGAACTGACCCGTAGCTGATCCTCCAACTGCTTTTCAGGGATAGAAAATCACAAAAGAGGAGACTGTCCATTCTTCTCCCGTGGAGCAGCTGGTGGATTCAAACCATGTGTCTTTGGGAATTGTAGCACAGTTTCTTACCACTAGGCCACTAGTACACTGAGCCAGTAAGGCTCCTTATGTAAGGTTATGTAAAGGAACTCTGAGTGTTTCTTTGACTACTTTGTGAGGTAGCCTGTCCCCTTGTTGATTGTTTTAACTGTTAAGACGTTCTTTCTCATCTTTAGCAAAATACTTTTCTGATGTGAAAGTTCTTCTATAAAAACACTGGCTGCCTCAAACTGGAGTAACAAACTTTACATTTATGTTCACTTGCTGGCACGAATGCTCCTCTCTCTAATCAAGACGTCTTCTTTCTTCCCTTCCCCATAAACTGCCTACTCAGCCTTGGCCACTAATGGAAACACCTCTTGGAATAGCTGAAGCCTCTTTCTCCATTGTTGAATCCTTTGCCCCTAACTCCTCTTGTAGGGAAGGGTGATAAAATAGCGGAGTATTATGAGCTTCTGCCTCCTTTTTGAAAAGCTCCTTTGAGATATTATGTTTTTCTCCTGTGATTTGTAGTAGCCATACTGGGAAATTGTGAAGAAAATCATGACAATCAGGTTACTTACCAAGTGACCGGCCATGCTGCATGGTAATGCTTGAACTGAACGAGCCCGGCAGAGAGTAAGCTGAGGGGGAAAACGGCCTTTGATAGTAACTCATTGGACTCACGGCACCACCAGAGTTTCCATTCACTGTTATCTGGCTCTGGGGAAAGCGAAGAAGCATTTTGTTAAAGTTTCAAACCCTTGTAAACACTATTCGTTCAGATGTTAGTAAACCATTCTCACTCCATTACAGAGATTAGCTGTAAAGTTTTAGTTCCTTTGAAAATTGATGTCTAGAGAGATGGCACATTCCCCCTCAGTGTCAGAGTTAATTTCCCCTGAAAACATTATTTTGTATATGTCAGAGAGCACAGAGGGGTCAAGGAAGAAAAGCAGCAGCTGATGGTGAGCATTGTGCCCTGCCAAGGAAAAGCTGAATGGCCTCTCTAGCAGTCAGAACGAAATGACTGTGGACAGTGAATTTGCTCTTCTGCTTCTAACCTGTATAGTCAGAATGCCCTCACACTATTCTGCATGATGGATTCCCAGTGAACGTTCTCTGATATGAGAAAAGGAACTGGCTCTCAGCCTTAGTCATGGATAATGGCTGGTGAAGAATCATTTCCTGAGGTGTCTAACAAGGACACAATGTTTAGATTTACTTACCATGTTGGAGCCTACTCTAGAAGAAGCTGGTAAGTGGCAAAGCATCAGAAAGACATGCCAACCACATTGCCTTCTCCTTCTAATCTGTCCTAGTACTTTATGAACCTTTGGGCTCTTAAAAATTTATTGTTTTGATTGTTTCATAACTGAGTGTTTTATAGCCTCAATGGTATTTCCAGCTTTTTGTTAGACATGGATATGGATAGAGACAGAGACAGAGATATAAATTTCCTTTTTTATTAGTTGCAGTCTCTTGCTAATAGCAGTAGCTATTCACATTCAGTTGGTACATGTTCAGTTAAATGGAACCAGTTAGAGGGTGAGCTCACCCCTGTCAAGCACCCCTTTCTATCCTTCCTACTCACAATATATACGAAGTGTGGAGATTACACAACGCATGCAAATGAAACAAAACATTAGGAAAGGCATTCAGTTAAACTTTATGGTAAGCACACACGGAAACAAATCTGTACTTTAAGGACAATTTGAGAACCTTCTCGAAGTATTATAACTCACTCTTTCTCAATGCTGTTAAATCAGAACCAACCCACAGCTGACTCTCCAGCAGGTTTTAGGAGGATGTAAATTGCTTCTGAGGAAGCTGCCAGTCTTTTCCCCACAGAGCCACTTGTGGATTCAAACTGTCAGGGAGATGTTACCTTTGAGTTCATAGTGCAACTCCCTACAGACCACACTATCAGAGGACCCTAAGTGTTGTAAAGCACAATATTTTCTTTAAAAAGCCCATAGTACCAGTGACTTTGTCACGTGGGGCACAGAAGAGGCTCTCAATAATTTTAACCTCACCTCAAAGTGACCTTCCACTAGACTTTTAAGGCTGTAAATATTTACAAAATGAGACTGCACATTGTTCTCCTTCAGAGCAACTGATAGATTAGAACTTCTGACCTTTGGGTTAGCAGCCAAACAGGAAATGTATCATGTTGGGAAATGAAATCTGAAACTTCATTGAATGGAACATTTTTAGTGCAGTCACTGAATAAATACTGAACTCTATTAAAAAATATCATCTTTTCTCATCTATAATTGCAGTGTCTTAGAAAGCAAATGCAAATAATATTTCTCCATATATGGTGCTGGCAGATTTATGACATTGATATGGAATACTAGGTAGCACAAAAAATTATGGCTATGACAATACTTATTTTAAAGTTCATTATATATTATTCTTGGAAATAAATTTCCAATTTTAGTCTAAAGTTATGTGCTTTTCATATAAAGACCATGGTAAATAAATTACATGCAATTGAAATTGTTTCATAAAATTCTGAGTTATTTTAGCCATTCACATATTTATTGTGAACTGTCCTTGTCATGTAGACTAGTTAAATGATATAATATGTATGGAAAATATTTATATAAAACAATAAATTTCTAAGTTATTATGCTAAAATGGCTCAGGAGAAACATTTCCAAAAAATCATAAAGCTGCATTCCTATAATATTGATTTCGATTTCCTCATTTATTCTTGTAAGATGGTAGCTTTTAGTAAAAAAAGGAGTAAACTTATGCAGTCACTAATAATTTCTATGAGAAAACAGTATGCACTAATCTGAGGTAACCTTTATTAGTTGTTATGATGAGCTAAACTTTTAAAAAATATTAAGACTTTAAAATATAATAATAATATTATGATCTATACTTAGGTCTAAGTTTCTTAGATAACTTGTCATTAAGGCAAATCACTGTAAACACATTCATTACAGCACTATTGTGTTGGCCTAACTAATTCTGAAAAGAATGAAGAGAATATAATGGAATTTTCAACCAAGGAGGCTTGTGAAGATGACGAATAGTTATCCCTTGTAGATTGTTCAGAGTTGGTTTACTAATCATCAACTATGCAAAATAAAAATACTCAGTACAAAATGAGATGGCAGAGAAGGAATCTGCTGTTTTGGCCTATGGAGACCTGTATATAAAACAGTAGAGGCAGAGGAAGGAGGAATAATTACATGAGTGGCAGCAGAAGGTGTTAAGGTGAGACCATCTGTCACAGCTGACCTTTGACTCAAGGCTGGGGGTTGTGTGTGAGGAGTGATGTCAGAGTTAACACTGTGCAGCTCATCTAGAAGGCCTGTGGAGAACTCTGTGTGCGTGTGTGTGTGTGTGTGTGTGTGTGTGTGTATGCCCACCCAGGCGTGTGGGTTTGTGGTCCAAGAACCTATGACATGACTGCTTTTAGGAGCTGAGAGAGAAAGGCTGCCTACATAAACAGTGTGAAAGGATCCCAGTTTAAGTAGGCGTTAAGGCCACAGGTTGTCAGATGGTGAGCAGTCCAAGCGATGCTGGACTGGAGTCGCTGTCTGGTGAAAGAGTGGTGTGGACAAAGGGTAGTGCAGAAGGGGTCGAGAAAAGGCTTCCGGTGTGGTCTGACCCTGTGACTAGGAAACATTTTCCTCCAACGCATGGGCAGCTAAGTCCTGGTTTCCAGGCTGAGTTTGAGGAAACAAGAGTAAGAGATCTAAATTACCCAAGGAATAAAGATAGCTCTTTCTGTAGTGCAACAAAGAAAGTAAAGCATACGTTTTATTGGCAAGCATTTTCGGGAGAACACTCAGATGGATTAGGTGTCAACCACACATTACAGGAAAAGTTTAAGAACATGGGGGAGGGGAATGAGTCCAGTCCGTGTCTTTTAGGGAGGAGCAGGAAACAAGGTCAGTTTTCACACTGCATTGCAAAGCACTGCAGTTTCTCTCCGGTGAGAGTTTAAGAGAATCAACACATTGAGAATTCCATTCCTCTTCCTCCTTTGGGAGTTTTTGTATTTGTAATTATGGCAGTGATGTGATAGTTGATGTCTATCAGTCAGCAGAATGAGTTCTCTATCCCTCAAAATATTCTTTAGAGCAGAATTCTCTTTATGACCATCCACCTTCCAAAATGTTCATGAAATATGAAGCAGTTGGGCTTGGGGTTTCATTTCACACGTCCCCCTCCACTTGACATATGGCTTTCAAGCTTGATGAAACTAGAAACAACTCTCTGGAAAGGCTATTTTGGCTCCTGTCCATTCATTGACTGTATTCTTTGACATGACTGAAAAGATTGAACTTTAGAATAATGTTGCAGTCCAAACAGAGGTTTATAGTGGGAAAAATGAAGTGTCAAACCACCTGCTGGATATGGTTAGAAGTCCTCTTGGTTTTAAATCTTAGGGAAGGAGAAAGAAACTGACAGAGAAATTAAACTTTAATACCTCTAAGGCTGTAAAACCAAAGAGGCTAACACCGATGGAGGGGTGGTCTGTAGAAGGAAGAGAAGCTGACCCATTAAAGGTCCTTGGAACTATTGATCAGAACCTTGATAATGTCAGTTGTGCTGGTGAAGAGTAACCTCAACATAGTAAATGAAATCTTGAAGCAAATGTTCTTCCTTATGAGTTCAACTGCCCTCTCTAGAATAGAGAGTTTATGTGTTTGACATAAGACCAGCTAAGACAGATGATCAGAAAAATATATGGGAAATAATACATAGATGGTAAATGAGTTAAAAAGAACTTTATAAAGAAATCTTGTCTAGTAAAGATTTAAAGTGGTGCCATTGGAGTCTTTGACCATCTGTCATTTTTATATAGTTGATGTCATGCACACTGCTGGTTTCCTATAAAGTCTTAAATTTTTTCCTCAGGTTTTTAATTGAGAATGTTAAAAAAAAAAGTCCAATACTACTAAAGGCCTCTTTGGATCATATATCCTTTTTGAAATATGATGATAGTGATATTCTCTTAGGAAAATGTACCAATTCAGATGTACATAAAATCCTATGTACAGTTTTAGGGGTTTGTAGGTGCTCTGAGGTACGTCCTTAATGTAATGAGTTACCCACTGTCACAGAGTGACTCATAGCAGCTCTGTAGGATGGAACAGAACAGCCTGCAGGCCTTCCTACGTTGTAACTCTTTACGGAAGCAGACGGCCACATCTCTTTTTCACAGAGCAACCTGATGGATTCTAGTTATTGGCCTTTTTGTTAGAAACTGAGTGCTGAACTACTGTGTCACCAGGGTACTTTAATTTAAAAGTAGCTCCAACCCTGGGTAAAAGACATATTTCCTTAATTTTTTAAAAAAATATTCTCTTAAATGTTATATTTTACTATCCAAGGTTTTAAATATCTTTAGAATTAACTGATAAAAAAATCAATTAGCTTTTAAATATTCAATAAGAATATAATTTTATTGTCGTTGTTATTGTATGCTGACAAGTAGGAATCAATTCATAGCTGACTCTCCAGCAGGTTTTCACAGGCAGTAAATTGCACAGAAGGAGACTGCCCATCCTTCTCCTGGGGAGCAGATGGAGGATTTGAACCCAGTGCCTTTGAGATTGTAGTGCAAGTTCTTATCACTAGGCTGCCAGATGCTTAAAATAATTGAGGATTTTATTAGTAATAAAACACAATATTTAGAAACAATACTAATTACAATTAACATTTTAGAAATTTGCTACAAGTCTGAATGGAATTCA